TGCTTTGCTGCGTTACTGCAGAGGCAAGAAGCTACTGAACACATTTCTGACTGTGCAGAGATGCACTCGTCTTCTCTTTGCGACTGCTTCCCATTGGGCACCAAAAGAAATGTCTAAGCTACCAAGTCCATCAGACCGGAATCTCTGGTGGATGAGGTCTTGCTGTAGCCATCTCTGTCTGGCAGAATAGAGCTGATAACTATCTGACAGCGATTGCGGTTTGAATTTTCACCAGGCAAAGGTAGGGCGTAGAAAAGGAACCAACGTAGCAACACAAAAGTATGCAAATTTGGGGATTCTGGAGTATACCTACTGCTTTGTGCACTCAGGGAAGAGGTGGACGTAGCCAGGGTTGCCAAGTTATGGTAGCACATACCTGATTCTTGAGAGCATTTAAGGTAAATGCGGAGGCACTCAAGAAGAAAGGTTGTGGTTCATCACATGGTGACTGCACTCAGGGAGATGTGCTATTGTTGTGCCTTTCCTGGGCTGGTGTAAACATTCTTACACATGGAGCTGGGATAAAACAGGCCAGAAGCATGCACTGTCACTCACATGGTAATCTTCACTGTGTCCATGGTGCTGTTGCTGCAGAACGTGATTTCAATGCTGGTGACTATATTTCTTTTCTTCTGCAAGTGGAACTCAACCAGGCTGTGATGGACTGAGCAAAAGGTGACGTACGTGAGAGTCAGGTACTATGAGTTGGACCTACCCCTGCCAAAAGAAGGCCTATGGCACTTATTCCCTGGCCCCACCAACAGAAAGAAGATTAAACAGACACAAGAAAGAAACTTAACCTCTGTGGTACGAGAGGCACAGTGGGCAGGTCTGCATAGTCCAGTGTGAACAGATTGTAATTTTCTCTACCCTTTACTTCAGTCCTGAAGCCATGTGGCATCTTAATCCAGGGCTCTGCCCACACTAATAAACATGTTGGAAAGGGCTTTATGGGGGAGATGAGCAGGGTTATTGCTCTTCAGCTGTGCGTCTCAGACCATCTGGGCCACAGCAGCTGATTCCGATGGGGACAGTGGGTTGTAACTCCCTGATCTCCCCAGGGAATCTGCCTCATTTGGTCAACACCCTTCTGACTCATTTTTTCTCATTGATACTTACCACAGAATGGGGCTGAGGGACTGGTCATTAGATAAACTTTCACTTCCTTGGGCAGGTTCCTCAAGTTGATACCTGCCTGCTCCAGCAGGCCTGCAGGAGGAAGTAGAGCCAGTGCAGGGAAGGCCATGAATGACCCAGAACAGAAATATAGCTGGTCCCAATTCACCCCCTCTCACCCCACCCAACTCCACGCCTCGGAGAACAGACCCTTTATACCAGCACAAATCAGAGGAAACACAGGTTTGTGGTGTCTGTCTGACAGGTTAACATCCACTCACAAAACCTATTGTGGCTACTCCAGGTAGGTATCATCAGAGTACCTCTTGGTGGCTTTGTTTCATTCCTCTGCTAACAAACTGTGTCATCAGTTGCACCTGTGCAAAATGAGCAGAACTAAAGACTACCAAGTTAGGAAACTTAGTGCAAATGTAGACAACAATGCAAACACAAGGTGCTGGGAAACTGGATTTTAGGATCGAGCGAGAGGACCACCATAACTTGAGGCACCTGCACCTCTGACTAGCTGACAATGCCGCTTGGTGAGATGGGGAAGGGTAGCTGATCTGAGAGCACCTATATCAGAAGAGGCCTCTCCTTATGTTCTTCCTGTTTGCACATAGCACCACAGGACATGTGCTAAACAGCCCAGTTTCAGAAGCCTACAAGAGGCAACCAACTATTACCTTCTCCTGGTCCAGGGAGTTCATCTTTGAGGTGGCCATGGCAGGAATTCATGAGAAGGAGGTGACACAGCAACAGTGAGTGGTTTATAGAAGAACAGAACTTCAGACTTGGGCTAAACTTTCCAGCTGCTTCTCTAAACAAGACACTTTTTGAGCTAACTGCCCACTTGGTGATTCTGAAGACTCTCTTTCAACTCATTTGTGGGCCCGATGAAATGTTTAAAGATCAGAAATATTCAAGATGTTGGTGTTCTACCTTGGGCAATATATGAGCTTTTAGAATGTATCCATAGAAGCTTGAAAACTAAACAGCTTCTCATTATGCTCGGAGAAATCTGAACTGCCTACTGTGCTCTACACCAACACTCATCAGGAATGTCATGTCATCTACTCCAGGAAGGTCTCATGCTGGTACTGTACCTATTCTGGGACAGGAGAACCGAAAGGGGTCAACACAGTCCAGGCAATGACCATTTAAAAAATCTTGATGACTTGCACAGGGGAACGCCAGGATGGGACAGGAATGTTTCAAGGCACTGACATAGAGATGTACTGCCCTCATGTGATCACAGATCAGATACTTATAGCCTGCAAGACAAAATGCACCCAGAGAAAAGCAGCCATGAGCCTTTTTTTTCACTTGGCTTCAGTCTTTTTGCATGTTCCCAAGGAACTGAGAGTCAAGAAACAGTCTTGCTGATTCTGCAGCCATCCCCTTCCAATTAATAACATTTCACAGAGCATCTCTGCGGCTACAAGCCTGGATCCCACTGCAGGAAGTTAGAAGTGTATTTCCCAGACTAACAGAGTCCTCCAGAAGTGGGGGACCACAGGGCTGCCATGTCTCCATCAGCGTACCATTGATGAAGGCCCCAAGCTCTCTGCAAGGGGGTACAGCAGTGCAGTGACTCCCACCTGCACTGGGACTCCATCTGTGGGAAGTGAGGTACCATAGGTGTCCCCTATAACCTGACCCTCAATGCAGCTGGCTCATCCAGAATATTTGCATATTTATCCAGACTATTTACTGTGCAAATTTTTATTCTCTAGAGGGAAAACGCAGTGATCGTACAAGCTGTCTCTCTTAGCATAGGCACAGCTTGCAGCATGAAAACAAAAAGAAGCTTTTGCTAGTAGTACGTAAGAGCCTTTCTAGCAAAAATGTTTTCTTTGTTGATACAAGCTCCACTGACGTTAGGGTTTTGGCTCATACAGAAGTGACACCAAAATCGTGTCTCTTGACAGCGGTGCTGCCGAGACACTTGACCCATGTGTGATTTTAATTTCAGCTGCTTGTTGTGCTGCTGAGAGGAGACGTGGGCCATGAGTCTCTGCTGCCACGTGTCTTTACAAACACATGCTGTCTCACTTTGATGTCTGCCCTGACTGTAGCAGGAGCTGGTTGCCAAACAGCATTTTCACAGGCTGCTGAGTGGCCATGAAAGCTCTTTTCGTGACCAGAGAGTGTTCTCACCTGCAGAGATGAATTTGGGGCATCCTGGCTGATCTTTGCCTCCGTTGACGAAATAATCGATGTGACCTACAGGAATTCGGATCCCGAAATCTGAAAGGAGGTGAAATACCACTTCATTCTTACGCTTGGCCCTTCCATAGGCTTTACCCTACATGGTGATTGACAGGCCCCAATAACTGGTTGAACATTAGTGGCGCTGGAGCCAGCTCCAGTGCTGGAGACAGCAAAGACATATTTCCTATTCCTACATGCCTGCACTGTGCAGGTTTTGCTGCGCGGAGCTGGGAGTTCTCCAGGCCCTGTCATCAAAATGACTGGGAACTGCAGCTTAATCACCACCTCTGTGACTCAGGTTCTTCACTCCGCATAAAGGAGAACAAAACTGACCACAACCTTGATGGGGGACTATGAGGCATGACTGACAGTTATGTCGGTAGAGGTTTTCGTGATCTCCAGGCAACAGGCGTGACTCAAAGGCACCATATTATTCTTTAGCACATGGTCTGCCTACATAGACCTTAACTGCTTTAGGAAAGTTACTCGGTTCTTGCACCAGCTTTTGGGTTGACTCTGTTACTGTCCACTGGCGCTCTAAGTGTCACCCTTTTTATGTCAGGTGGGAAAGAGCAAAGTAAGACCAGACATGTAAATTCCTTGCAGGTGGTAAAGCCACACTGATCTGATTCTGCATAAACTCCCTCTGCTGTAGTAGGGTTAAGGAAGCAATATTTGCTGGAAGATTGCCCTCTGTCTAATCTCCACCTGTATGTTGCTGTGAAGTGCTCTGGGATACGGATCCCTGCCAGTGAATTCATTGTTTAAGCATGTCTGATCAAGAAGCATCCTCAGAGTGAACCTAAACTCATGGTAATCTCATATAAAAGGCACAATGACCTACACACTCCTTAGCAATAATGACGGCAGGAGGAACAGAAGCGTGGGCCAAAGAAGATGGAGGCCAGCTTACTGTCAGTGTCAGTATGAATGGCTTCCACGAAGAGGGCATCCCCAGGATCCAGGCGTTCCTCAGGGCTGGCTCTGGTGTACTTAGGGCCTGCAGGATCCAGGCCTGTAACAAAATCAAACGTCTCAACAACAAGTGCTCTTCAGACCCTCTCTTTCTTATTTCTGGACTAGTTACTTTATCCAAAATTTTGAAAGTGTTGCTAGGCAGAAGTGAATTATTCCTAGGATGCACTGCTTATGGTCCAGAACGGTTTCTGCCCCCACTAACTTCCACTACAGCTTCCTCAATTTGTCCTCCACTGTTCCACTCCCCTTCAGCAGTTTTGTACCTCAAGTTTCCAGGCTGCCCTTATCTTGCTGGCTTGACTTCCTGGCTCAACCTTGGACTTCCCTCATCACTACAGACTTGCCTGGTGATCACTGGACTGTGGATGATCTTGGTTCCTGTCTCTGGACCTGCTCTGGTCTTCTTGCCCGGATACCGTAGGACTTGTGTCCCTTGTCAGTGAAGCCACTAGCCCTGTCTGCCTTGCTGTCACTCTCGGCTCACTTTTTCCTGCAGAGCAGCTCACTCTTGCTGCTCCCCCACAATGACATGCATTGTGGGCTTTAATTTTAAGAACCGCGTAGGTATACGTGCTATAAAGTGGAAGTAAAGCATGTGATTATTCTGGGGTTTCATTAGTCATGAGGCCTCGTATTCTTTTAAGCTGGCACCAATTTGAAGAGCGGAGCAGAGGTGGAAGGACCCTTTTGCAAATACATGCATTCTTTTGGCAGTGTGGAGGGGACCGATGGCTGGAAAGACATTGTCAGGCTCTGCTGAAGCTAGGAAGAAGGCCATAAGCTTGGATCTAATGAGTCCTTACGCAATTAAAAGATCACTGTGGATGACTCCCCTCCCTTCGCTTTTCATTCTCTCCCGTGAAGAGCAGGTGAGAACCCAAGGCTCAGTTTTATGATACCTGTTATCCGTCCCAGCTGACCGCCGTGGAAGTGCCCCACCAGGCCCCCGACATGCGCACCAAGGCTTACCCCAATGATGTGGATGGATGTCCCTGAGACTCCCAAAGCCTGCAGGTTGATGATAACACAAAGTAATGTTGCTGCAGCAGAAAAGTGAAATACCCTGTGCCAGCCCACGCAGCAGCTCCGTAACTGTTGTAATACAGGATTGCTCTTGAGGTGTGTGGTGGAGAACCAAACAGATGTGGGAATGATGCGTATTGCCCTTTCTGTTTTTCAGAGGGTTTCCTCAGGTCCACAGATGCAAACCCAACCCTAACCAGGTCGGTCAGATGCTCCTGTTCATAACTACATAGCCTGTAGCTTCTCTTTCCACAGCTTGCTTCTGACTGAATTTCCCCCTTTCAACTGAGTAACCCATTTCTCCATGTAATTAATCTTTTTCTCAGTAAAGCAGAGGAATGTTTTTTATTCACTTTTATACCACCATTGTACCAATACCCTGATTAGTATTTTAAGATTATATTTTCAGAGATTAAGGATTTATCCATGTGCTGAACTGCCAGGTAAAGCACAGCCACTTAGATGTGATGTGAGATGACCTCATTCAAACGAATTCAGCTGCCTGCAGGCTGGGCTGTATGACGCAGAACCATACAATGGAAGAGCACACGATGCATGAGAGCGTGGGGGCAAGACAAAAAATCCTGACTTTGAAAGGTATGAGGCCATATCCTGGAGGCTTATGAGAAGCACAATACATTTTTTTTGTGGTGTATCGTTGCAGGACAGGCTGGACAGAGAAAGTCCTTACGTAGCTGGACTAGAGCTTAGCACCTACACAGAATGGGTGGTGGGGAGACTGTTCAGCTCCATCTTTTGTTCACTGTGTGACCTACTCAGCAATGAGGGGTGACAGTCCTCTCTCCACCACCCCAGCCCCCACCACCATCCTCCTAATGACACAGCGGCTCCAAGGGTTGCCATATTTCTGGGTGGAAACATGGGACTGTGCACACTGTGGTGCATACCCAGGAACTCCCATGCTGTGCACCTTGGGTCTGAAGTCCAAATGTTATACGGAGAATTTGCACATAGCTGGCTAACACAAAGATGTATCACCCTCATTGCGTTAAGTGTTGTTTAGCTGTGCTGTGCATGAACAAACTGGATCACGGATGGGCATTTCCAGCTACTGGGAAGTATACCTGAAGCCCAAAGCAAATATTAAATCCCATCCCCTCCAGCTCCCTGAACAAAATTTCCAGGCAGAAGAAGACCGTCTGGTGAAACGTAGACCTGAGAAAACCCAAGGCATCCTTCAAGTTTGTCCCGGCATGGAGAAGCAGCTAACAACTGGGATGTTTTTCCATAAAATGTCAAAACTCAAGAGAAAGAATAAAAACAGTGGCATGCTTAAGCCTGGACTTAGAGAGAGGAAAGAAGAAATCTCTTTAATGCTACACAGCACTCGCTCTGGAATAAAAAGCCTGCTGTTCCAGCTCCTGGAGACAGCAGGTTGGGAGCAGCTCTCTGGATTTTTTACATGAATGATGTTCTCTGGCCATGCTCCCCCTGCCCAGAAACGCACCGTAGCTTACCAGGAGCTTGCTGATGAATTGTGAGATGAAGAGGGCCAGCTGTGTGACATTTTCCACCGCAGAGGGATAGGCTCCTGTAGACCCATAAACCCAGTCTACTGCAATCACGTTCACCTGGCTTGTGTGCAGTATGGCATGCACAAGCCCTTCAATCCAGGAAGGTTTGGTACCCAAAGCCCTGCAGAATCACAAAAAACAAGTATATTAGGTGCCTTCTAAAGTAAGGCATGTGTCAATATGTTGTTCACTGGTACTGGAGCTTCATATGTCTCAGAGGAGGCTACCAGACAGTTGCTGAAAGTTTTTGCTGGTGCCAGACACCCACACCTGGCGTTTCTTTGTGGTAGTGTAATTATACTTTCCAGAACGGGCTTATTCAGAAAGGAACCAGATACTTTAATGAATGAGATAATATTTGAAGGGCTCAGGCTGAGATGTCAGTCTTGCTGTGCTGTTTCAGTTGGCCACCACAGAGCCCACCGGGAGTAAGTGAGGTGACTAGGAACACCTGGATCTTGCTCTGCTACCTATTGGCAGGAAGTCCTTGGTCACATCACCTAGTCTTTCACTCCTACATTTTGTCATCTGCAGACAATTGAAAAAGAAATTCTATACCCAAGAACTGAAGGAAAATTGAGGGGGCTGTGTCCTACCCACTTCCCCTAATACCACCTGGTGGAGAGTGTGCTATGTCACATGAGGGAAACAGCTGGTTTGCTGATAAGACCCTGCAACATCTGTGGTTTCATCCTGGTCTTCTGTGCACTTTCCATTCAGGCTTTTGCACTTCAAAACAAATGATGTTATTTGGTCACACCTGGCTGAAAAATGGCACAGTAAAGTAAGCTTGTAGAAGGGTGACAATTTAAAAAAAACTGGCTCAAAACCCTACAATTTCAAGAACAGAAGTATAATTTGTCTGGCAGGGCTCCAAAATGGCTGACTAATGCATGCTGTTGATAAACTGGGACATGAACTCCAAGGAGACAATTTAAAGGGACAAGAGTCTTGCAGAAAAGGCTTCTTAAGTAAAGAGGTTGAACAAAGGAACGAAAAATAAAGAGGTAAAGGAGGAGAGAGCAAGAGAATGAGCGAGATAAAGATAGAAGGAAAGATGATAATTCCCTAACTTTTTTTAGGCTCCAGAAAATGCGAAACACATACAAAATAGGCAGCTGGTCACAAACTAAAGGACTGCAAGTTGTGTTGTAATACGGGTTGTCAGCAGCATTTTCCATGCGTCTGGCCCTGGCCCACCAACAGCCTCCCAGACAATTCCCAGGTCCGGTTTGGGGCTGAGCACTCCAGGCTTTGTTCTCAGCAGGCATTTTGCATGCAGCCACTCTGCTGGGGACACTAAGAAAGTCACACGAGCCAGTTTCTGTGCCAGCCCCACCTAGTGTTTGGGAATGCCCCAGCAGTGTTTCATTTCCCAGTATAAACTTAGTCACAGTGCTCTTTCTCCCTCACCTGAAGCCATGGATTACGATCTTGGTTTCCAGGCTGCTGTTGAAGCTGGAGTTCTGGATGCCATCACCAGCTAAAATCAGCTCCCCACAGCTGGGGCTTGAGGAGGTGAACAGGAGAAACTGGACCTTAAGTTTGCTGCCCTGTAGGAAATTTGCTGTCTGGAAGTCAGTGCAGTGATGCTCTGGGAGTCTGTCTATGTTTTCTGCAACGAGAGGGAGTGAACAGCATATTTAGCCTTCGTCCATGCAATCGGGAAAAAACCCAGCTCATTCTAGTTCATTAGGAAAATGCAGGTAGCAATCTCACTTCTATTGATAAAGGTTAAAAGGACAGAACATAAATTAAAACCAGCTTATTCTGGAAACTTTATCAGTCTGATAAAGTTTTGGTCCTTTTTTGGTCCTTTGATGGATTTCCAGCACTGGCTGGGGAAGACAACTGTGGATGTCATGGTAGCGTTGACTTCTGATAGTTGTTTTACTGAGACGTGAATGACATTCTGTTGGTTTTTGTTTTCCAGATCGGCCACACATGCCAGCTACTAAGTACATTTATGAGCTGGCTGTTAGATCTTTAAAAGAATGGATACCAACAGGTAGTCACCACTGAATGGGGATATTTCTATTCGAATTCCAGTAGGCTTAGTAGAAGGTACAAGTCTAATCGACAATTGCATCAAAAATCCAGAAATAAACATGAGAATGCTGATGACAGAATATGAGAATGCTGATGACAAAATGTGTCAATGCGTCGTGGTTTTAGGCTGATCCAGCAACTAAAACTCACACAGTCTCTCCTTCTCCAGTAAAGTAGAGAGGAGAAAGAAAAAAAAAATAAAAAATAAAGGGACTGAGGGTTGAGACAAGAACAGAGGGAGCACCCACCAACCATGGTCCCGGGCAAAACAGGCTGGCTTTCTTAAAGCAAAACAGTTTATTAATGATTACTTAGAAGGACAAAGGGAAACAAAACCGGTTACTTGAGAGGATAGAAAGAAATAAAGCCAGATCTTAAAACTGACATCTTCCCCACCCCCCTTTCCTTTTCCTCCCGGCTCTACCTCCTCCCCCCAGCAGCACAGGGAGCAGGGACTGGGGGAGTGCAGGTCAGTTCATTCCGTGCTGTTACTGCTGCTTCTTTCTTAAAGGAGAAGGAGTCCTTACACCCTTTTCCCCTGCTCTGGTGGATCCCCTACCCACGAGGAAAAATCCA